CATCAGACCATTTTTTTAAATATAAGTATAAATCAAGTGCATTATTGATAAGACCAAGTTTAACATAAATATGAGCGATGTAACTCTAAAGATATAATTTATGGAATAGAAAAAAAAGAATTAATTCGTTTAATTTTACTTTTAATTTCCATGTTGGGTAAATAGGTGTTGAATGAAAATATTCTAAACGAAATGAACTTGAAGGAATTGTATAATCATATTGATCGATTAATTCCTGAATAAAAGTTAAAAGTTTTTCATGACTATTTTTTAAAATTTAATTTACTTGTAATTGTAATAATGTTCTTTCAATTTTACGTTTATTTTCTGTTTCATGTTGACAACGTAATATGAGTGAACATGTTTGAATACACCAATTGATTGGTCTCGCTAATATATACTATAAAGGAAAAAAAAGGATTTAATCATAATCAACACGAACAGATGTTTAATAATAATATAAGCTGAAATAGAAACAAACGCAAATCTGCAAAGTTAATGAGTTTTTATCTTGTTTTTTTTTCCTATACGATTATCAGTTATTCTCATTGATTTATTATAAATTCGTTTGAATATGATTCTGATGGAATGAAGTGAAGTACAGTTAGATTAGAGGGCAGAAAATGAGTTAAGAGACAAATATCTTCTGTAAAAAAAATTCTACGATTGACAACTAATGATAACCAACATCAATTGAGCATTTTTCTCGTAGTCTAATTTAATCTGATCAAAAGTGAAGAGTATCTTTTAGTCAAGTTGAAATAGATAATAAGCGAAAGCAAAACCAAATCTACTCGTATACTTGTAAATTTTTCTATGATCAAAAATAACTCTTTCTACACAATTTTCTTTTTATAACCAGTTGACCATATTCGAATAACGAGAAAACAAAAGTTTATCATTGGAACTTGTTTGATTAGTAACAATCAATTGAAAAAAAAAATGTGCACTTGGCTATTTCGATAACAAATCATCAATGTTCTTTAGCTCTTTTAGTAAACAAAGTCTACTTATAATTATCTAGATTATAATGTAAAATGACGATATCCAAAAAAAAAAGACAATACGATCAAACTTATGCATATTTTAAGTGAACGTCGACATTCCATTAATACGGAAGAGTCTTTATTTTGGTCCCTTTCCAGTTCAGTCGTAATTCCTCAAGTTAAAAGGAAATGATAAATCTTCATTATTTCTTCATGATTAGTTATTTAAATAATTCATTCTCGAATGGTCATTGATTTAATAGAACCCACATATTATTCCCAGCTTAAGCTAAATGGGATGTCAACGATCATTGCTAAGACACAACATGCAATTTATAACTACACATTGTAATGTATTTATACTTAAATATCAAAGTTTACAATCAAGAACTCAGTGTGACAAAGTCGTAAAAACGAAATTTGTTAAGAAATAAATAATTAACAACTAAATTTTTGTTTTTTTCATTATACATACAATGTATCCTACGCGTTATAACTCGATCTATTTAGTTCGATTGCAAATAAAAAAACATCACAAACTGGTCCCATCTATATTAAACATCTCTGAATAGTCACAAATATCATTAGACAGTCTTGTTGATATTAAATTATGATTTAATAGAATGTTTTAAAAATTCATTAGAAATAACTGAATACATACAGTTAGAAAAGCTAATTGTTCTTCTGTTGTAATTTCATGACGTGGATGATTGATTTGACGATCATATCTAGAAGTAAAAGAAAAAAGAAACATTCTAAAGTTTAGTTATACATAAAAACAAAACAACAAATAACTAACATAACTAATAATAAAGTTAATTGTTCAACAATATTTAATTGAATAGTCATATATTGAGGATCAGTTTCATTTTGAAATTGAATTTGATTAAGAATAACATCGTCATTTAATGTAAGATTCTTATATAAGAATAAAACAAAAACAAAATCTTAATTTTTCTTTTTTTTTTCAATCTATTTTTACTTTAGGTAATATTAAATTTTCTTCATTTGTTATATTATTATTATTATTATTAGTTAATGTTTGTTGTATTTCTTTTCTTGTAATATCAAGAAGTAATTGAGATGTATTATTTACTTGATATCGTGTTCGTTTACCAAGTTGACCTTTAATTTAATAAATAATTCTTTCAAGAAAAAAAAAACAAAAATCTCTTTTTACCTGTTAAATTAATTTCTAAACCTGATATTTCAAGTACTTTCTTTTTAGCTGTTTCAACTTGTTTCCAATTATAATAATACTCAGATATATATGTTATTTCAATAAAGAATAATATCTGTTGTACTCTAAAATAAATAAATTTTATTGATGGTTCTTTTCTCTATATTTCAGTATTTAATTCTTTTTACTTATTCATTTCAGATTGATAAGTTAAAACTAAAATAATGAAGAAAAAAAAAACAAGAACTAGAATATATTATTGATTTTATTTATTTAATTATTACGTTTATCAATACATATTTGTACATGATTATATAATGTCATTGAACGTTCTTCTAACATTTTTTGATGTGTAAATAAAGTTCGCATTGTCCACCAATACCAAGTCTAAAAATTATGTATATGATAAATATTTTTTTATGCGGGAAGGTTTCCAATGCATCCACGCTGCTTTCAATGAGGACATTATTCTAAGAAAAATTCTAAGAGGACTTGGACTAATGCGGCTTCCTTTGAAGATTATGACAGTTTTACTGATTTTTCTACATAGCACAAGGTATATACAGAAAAATTGAACAATAGAATTTCAATCAGAAATTTTGTTCATGTGTAATTCTTGTGGTTCTCAGAACTTTATAAATATTTCAAAAGAAACAAAAATGCTTCTTTTTGAAGATATCCGTATATGAAAACTTGTCTCATAATTTATGAAGTCCAGAAAAATTGACTTTTTTTTTAACAATTCAACATAACGACAAGAAAAGAGATTTTTCCCATTGGAACATTTAGACTGTTCCAACAATCGCAAGAACTACATATGAGCAAAATTTCTGATTGAAATTCTATTGTTCGATTTTTTTGTACATATATTGTGCTAAGTTGAAAATAAAATCAGTAAGACGGTTATAACTTTCGAAGGAAACTCTATCAGTCGAGATCGTCTTAGAATTTTTCTTAAAATTATGTTCCCAATATATGAACAAATATCATTGAAAACTGCATTGATTAGTTAGTTGGTGGTCTTTTCTCATTGGTATTGATATTCATACCCAATTTTTATTTGTTTTGTCTTGTTCAATACTAAAAACTTTTGTTGCCTGAAATAAATAATCTAAATGTTCAACAGTTGAAACAGGTGTTTCACCATCACATGTTAAATGATCATTAATTGTCGTCTTGAATGAAAAATATAAATACGAATAAATATTTAATAAAAAGATATCTACTTCTGATATTGATTGTTCAAAATTATCAAGTTCAACTTTTGGTCCAAGAAAATTATTAATAATAAATAATTGAAGATATGCTATACCGATGAGTATACACAAAAAATCAACTAGCCTATTAAATAGAAGAAAAACAAACAACATATCAAAAATTTGCATACGTATCAAAGATCATGCAAAAGTTCTTGCACAAAAATGTATTCATTTTTTTTTGTATTGACTAAAACAAATGTCGACAAACTCGAAAATACTTGTACAGAATCTATGTCGAAAGCTCTTTCTAACTGTATGTTCCGAAAAAGTTCTATCATGTCTCGTCTTTCAGTAAAAAGGATGTCTTTAAACAATACTAAAATGTAATCTGTAAAAGTGAACAAATACTACAGAAGGCATCGATCTCACAGTATTTTGCGATTTCTTTCGGTTCATTTCATGAGATGGTGTTTCTTTTTTCTCTATCAGATTATCGTTTTTATTCTCAAAATATTCTGCGGAAAATAGTATAGAATTCTTTGAGACAGCATAGAGAAAATTCACTCTCGAATCTCTAGTCGTTTTCAAATTGATGTTCGTATTGTTTTTACTTGTTATTCGATTTTGTCCTTGATTCAGACATATTCATAGAGCGGATATCTCGGGTCATTCTTAGCCGTCAATTCAACTGGGTGATGTGGGTACATAAAAGACCTGCACTCCCAGTAACACTCTAGTCCATACAATTGCAACGAATCGTCCTAGGATCTCACTTTTGATGTTATTTCTTACATCATTTTTTTTCAAATTGTCGATCATATCATCTAATGTGATATCGCACGGTTTTCCTATCAAATTTGTAGATAATTGAACGGTGCATCTAACCGAAAAAAGTGCAGCAACATACAGTCGATCACATTAGACAGAGTAAAAAAATGTCGAGAAATTCGTTTTCTCCGTGTCCATTACTTTGGGTTGTTTTTACAGATCGCACTGTAGTGCTGTTTAAAGACGTACCCATTATTGAAAGGCAAAACATGATAGACCTTTTTTTTAATATACAATTAGAAAGAGTATTCAATATAGATTCCGTTCAAGTATTTTCGAGTTTGTCCATACATGTATTAGCCAATGAAAAATGAATCGACATTTTGTGCAGGAACTTTTTCATCATCCGTTAATTCATTTTTTAACTAACTCTTCATCATGATTTAATTTATTCATAATCTCAATCGATTGAGAATCATCATGATTTTTATTAATAAAATCTCGTAGATTTGGATTTTCAATGAATAATTTATCATAAGAACCATTCAAAATGAAATGAACAAGTTCATTTAACCAATCTAAATAATACATATACAAAAAACAGAGAACATTTTTCAAATAATCTCTTTTGTATTAAAATTCATTTTCAAAACACACCATTATCTATATATTTAACTTGTGTGATATTTGAAACATTTGGTGTCATTAACAGATCGTTCCATGTTTGTTGTGGTATTTTCATGATAAATCTAAAAATGTTTTCAGTTCTCAATTGTGATGAAAAAACATTTTAATGAGCAGAAAAAAAAAGAATTTCGCATATTTTCATTCTATTATAATTATAATAAATATAAAATTATTTTAAGTTCAAATTCTATTATGTTCATCAGTGATGTTAGCTGCACGTTGTTGATTTAAATCATTAAGAATTCGAACACCATGTTGTTGTTGTCCTTGATATGGATACGCTGTTGATTGTGAATAAAAAACCGGTGGATGATTATTATTTATTGGTGGTGAATTTGTTGAACGTTTTCTTTGTGTTGGAGGCAAAAATTGTGTTGACGTTTTAAATGTTCCTTCATTTTGATGATCTTGATTTATTGTGTGACTATGTGAATCTTGGTATTCAAATCTATTCCCATTATTATTTGGTTCATTCATTACTTGTTGATGATTTTGTGAATTATAAGATTCTTGATCAAGTCGACCATGAGATGCTGAACGAGATAAATCTGTTTGTGTCTGTTGAAAATTATTGTTAAAATTATTAGAATATGGTTGACTATCAGAACCAATACGTTGTCGCTGTGTGAAATCAACAGATGGATGCCATAGTTTAGGTTTATTAAATTGTGCTTGTATCGGTGATTGCTGCTGATGATGTTGTTGTTGTTGTTGTTGTTGTTGTACAATAGAATTAGACGATGGTACAAGACGATTATTAATAGCATGTGTTAATTCACGAATATCAGAATCAGTTATAAATTGTCCATTAAAACTATCGGAATTAGTTATAACAAATTGAATACGTCGACCTGTTCTGGTTAAATATTCATAACGTCGTTGTGGTTCAAGAACACGAATTTGTTGAATATTATATGAAACATTGTCATTCACTGATGGTCGTCCTTGACGAAATAATATTGATGACCGTAATGGAATACGTGGTGGAGGTGGCGGGGCTTCATCATAAATAGTTTGTTGTTGAGTATAGGATGAAGTCGTTGGTGACGGTTGTTGTCGTTGTTGTTGTTGTTGTTGTTGTTGTTGTTGTTGCTTCTGAGAACGAAATTTTGATAGTATTTCAGGATCATCTATAACATATTCTTTAACAATTGTTCCATCTGATTGAGAAATTTCTCGAGCATGTACACCTGATGTCTTAAGTAAATCTTGAATATCATCAATAACCAAAGGATTTCCATCTTCATCAAGTATTTCATATTGAACACGAGATTGTTGTGAATTTTCATTGGATGAGAGTATAGGAGTAAATTGTTGTTTATAACGCCGTAATTCTTCACCTTGATTTTTTAAGAACATAAAATAACAGAAAAGTAAAAATAAACAAAAAACAGAATTCAATTAAAATTACCTTGTCGATGAATTTGTCGAACTTCTTCGTCAGCTTCATCAGCAGAATCAAAACGTCTAAATGAACTTATTTTTGATTTTTCAGTTGTAATTGATTGTGAACGGTTATAATTATTATATATATCAGTAGATCGATTTGAAGAACCTAGTGAATTATTATTATTATTAATATTATCTATTCTATGAATTGGTATTGATTCATTTGATGCTCGTCTATGTCTTGCATATAAATCATCAGTTTGTTTTCTAGAGTTTTCACGTGTTGCTATATTACTAGTATTTATTGACGATGTTAATGGTGATGACATAACATTTGAAAAGTTTTTTTGTTCAAATTTTGCTTTGATTTGAGCAAATTTATTTTTTAATGATTGTTGTTGATCGTCATCAGAGACTGTTGATATTGTTGATAATGTTGAATTGATTGGTTGTGATGATGGTTTGCTTTGTTCAAGTAAAGTTGGATCTTCGATAATATATTCTAGAACAAAAAAAAAAATTCTCTTCTTTTTTCTATTAGAAAAACAAAGAACTAAAACGTACCTTTGATAATTGATCCATCGGGTTGAACTATTTCACGTACATTTGATGCAAAGTTTTTCCAATTATTTCCATAGCGATTTTTGATTGTCTCAGCATCAAAACGTTGAATAGTTTTATCATCAAAAACATTACTATCCTCATTGGGCATTTTTGAATAATATGATTGTGGATTTGTTGCTGTCATTGGAAATATGTATATATATATATATGTGTATGTGTGTATGAAGGGGCAACTATAGTGTCAATGTGTGTGAATTTAGTCTGTCAATCTGATGAATAAATGTGTAGGAAGAAAGGAGAGATATTACTGTGCATTAATGCGTGACGAATCACCTATTTAGATGAATATTGGATATGATGAGAAAGCATAGACTCTTTCTTTCTGTTCGTCATTCATGGTGAATAATATGCATTCTCTTTTATAAATGAGCCGAACACAGAAGAAAAAAAACGCCTATCAATGTGTCACCTAAGAAACATACTTGATTTAAAAATCTTTTTTTTTTGTCTCAAGTGTTTATTAATTATACCTTTTTTGTTTAAAATAATCAGATGTGAAAAATCATTCATAACAAATTTTCGGTTTTCTATTAGACATTCGTTGTTAATGTTTAAATAAGAAACATATTTTACTTTTTTTTCAAATTCACTAAGATAAATGAAAATGTATCTATGATGTTTTATAAAAATAATGATTTGTTCGTGCTCATGAGTAATAACACTATTTTTCATTTTAAAATTAATAGGTATTTGTAATCGAATAGATCATCAAAAAGAGAATTTTCATTAAAAATAAAAATGAAATTCAAATTGATCTTGATAACCGTGAAAAATGATTGATTCATATTCAAATGAGTTTAGAAATATTAGTAAAATAAATCATTTCTACTACTAATATTCTATTATAAATTCTAATAATCATACTCATTGGTGTCGGTATCAAGAGAATCCCATTTATTTCCCTATTGATACACAATACACATGCATTCTTAATATGAAAAAAAGAAACAAAAGAAGTCACTATTACTATCTAAAGAATGAAAACAAAAAATGTATTTACTTCAAATAATTTTTTTTTATATTTTAAATGTTTCAATTTACTCTTTTTTTTGTTAATTTTTCTCTGTGTTTGTATACCAACGAGATCGAATAACGCGCACATATACAAAAAAAAGAAAGGAAAAACAATGAAATAAAGGAAGAAGAATATAGATATAGATTTAAAACAAATCAGCCAACAAATAGTGAAACCAAGAGAAAAGGAAAGATATATCCTAATAACACAAGAAAAAGAAAAACAATGAAAATACCAAACTAACTATTTTTTTTTTTGTTTTTTTCTCTTGTTTGATTAAAATAAATGAAAAACAAAAAAAAAAAGAAAAAAAAGATGAAATATGCATCTCGTCAAGTGAGTTCATAGGTGCGTGTTTTCTTTCTGTCGCATGTTAGAAATTGGTATACATACACACAAACACACAAGAAAAAACAAGAAACATTTACATAGAAACATATAATATAATAATTAAAGTAGGATTTGAAATATCTAAGAAATCTTCTTCGCTTTGGCTCTATTTCATCGTCATCATCATCATCATCATGAATTTTGTTTTCTTCATACTTCTATATACATACAATAAATCCGATACATAAATCTGCAGAAATATAGAGAGACAAAACAATTGAATAACAATCAACAGAGAAAAACAAATGAACAAAGAGAACTTATGTGACTTTGTTTTGACAGATGAGTAAAAGAAAGAAAAAAACTAGTAGAGACGACAAGAGAGAATTGTTGTTGTTGTTGTTGTTATTGTTTTTCGATTTTCAAATACATATATATATATATACATACAGTTCGAGAAAAAAGAAAAAAAAAATAGTAAAGAAACGAGATGATTGTCCCGAGAAAAAATTTAAGCCGGATTATTATTCTATGGCGTCAGAATTGTCTTTCATCGTAATTCAGTTTTCGACATTCAAATAATTGTGGATAAAATTCATTGACTGCTGTATTGATACGTTCAACGGACGGTGCTGAATAAATAAAAACAATGTTTTAAAATTTCAAAAGAAAAAAAAAAATTTTTTTTTCCTACCTGTTAATGTTACACTACCAGTAGTGAAAACTTTAAGAACAGCCTTTTCAGACAATCTGACTGTTGCACCCGGATGAATTTCGGGTTCATAACTAAAATATGATTTTATTTTTGTTCGTTGAAATATATAAAATTTGCTCTTCTTACCTGACACTTTCTGAATAAATTCGACTTAATTTAATAATATCAATTGGCCATGGCATCGTACACGTCGCTAGACAATTGACAACACGATAATGTCGAAATTTGACTTTAAATCCGAGTCGCTGCAGTGATCGAGCAATACGTCGTGCGCCACGTCGTGAATCATCCTCACTGGAAGTAATAAGTAGCAGTGTACACGTTAATGTGATACTACTACTAGGTTTCCTCCTACACACACCTCGTCGTTCCCGTTACTGTTACTTTACCCGATGACCAGACATTGGCTGAACAATTTGGATTTCGAATCTTCATCAATACCATCTTAAACAAAAAATAAAAAAGAATGAATAGATTTTTTTTTTTTATCGGTGTAGAAAATCATACCGCTTGATCACGCTTGTAAATAACATTTGAAGCTTCCATAGCTATTTTACGTAAATTTAGTTTGCAACCAAGTGCAAATGAACCAACAACATTGTTGACAAAGATTTCGATTTCTTGATCTTGGGAATTATTTATTAAATTATTATTATCATTACTTACTATACAGGAATTTGTTGAATTATTCTAATAATTAAAAAAGAAAAAACAAAAACAAAAAAGAATTTCTTTTCTTTATTTTTTGTTTTTATGTTTAGTATTTGTTTTTTTCTATTTCACCTGTTCGTCAATTTGATTTTGAGAAACTATGTTTGATAATTGAGACTGTTGTATAAGAGAATTATTCGTAACTATAGAAAACGACAAGGAATGATTTAAATAATAAAATTATTATAAGCAAATAAACAAAATAATTTTACTTTGTCGTTGAATTGTTATTGGTGCTAATCGTCCAAGAATAGGCGTATCAATACAAATACCCGGTTTGAAATTATTATTAGAAGAAGAAGAAACTAAAATTTATATTAATTTTAAAATTAAAATAAAGAAAATTTTTTACTTGATGGTGTTAGAATTTGTCGAGGATTATTAATTATTGTCGTATTACTATTATTTAAAAATGATAATGCTGGTGCAGATAATGATGTATGTAATGGTGTGGATACAAGTCGTACGGTTTGTGGAGATTGAAGTATAAGATTTCCTGTGGTTATTGGATTATGCTGTTGGGAATTTGTGGTTGCTATATAAAGTATATTACCATTTGTTGGCATTGTTACACCGGTTGAATTCATTGGTACTGATGTTGATGATGATACGTTCATATTTCCATTTATAATTGAAACAACTGATGGTTGTTTTATTAATGATGATGTTGAAGTGAAACGCCATGCTGACGGATTTGTTGATGGCGATGATGATAATAATGAACCATTAACTGGTGTACTTAAATGTTGATAAGTAGGTGAAATAGCAGCAGTAACAAGACCACCGGCCGATCCTGATGTAGCAGCTAGATTAGTTGTTGATGTTACAGTCATATTTCCATTTATAATTGAAACAACTGATGGTTGTTTTATTAATGAAGATGTTGCTGTTGAAGTTAAACGCCATGCTGATGAATTTGTTGATGACGATGATGATGATGATGATGATGAACCATTAACTGATGTACTTATAAGTTGATACGTAGGGGGAACAGCAGCAGCAACAGGACCACCGGCAGATCCTGATGTAGCAGCTACATTAGTTGTTGTAAACATTTCGTATTATTATTATTTATTTATTTATTTTTTTGTTTTTTTCCAATGAAATGAAGAAGACGAAGAACGAAAAAAAAGTAAATAGATTTTAAATTGTTGTGTATATTATTTATTTTTATTCTTATTTATATCTGACAAAAAATTCCATCCAACTTGAAGAACGTCGACAAAATTTGCACTTTCAGATACATGTGCTATTTGATTGACTTGCTGCTGTCTTGCAGCTGACTATTTCTAACGTTCTTATATTTATACTCATTGAATACCATGAGAAAAATGTCCGTGTCTTCATGATGAAAGTGCATAAGTGTTTTATATAAAATTTTATTCATCCAAAATTTACCGAAAAAAATCCATTTCAATGTATCAAAACAAAAATTCAAATGAAAAATGTTGGTAGAAACACAAAAAAATATTGAAAAGTCTTTTTTTTTGTTTCAAAAAAATAAATATTCGAAATAATGAAATTAATTACTGGAGGTTCTTCGAATGTTCGAGAAAAATTGTTGTCTTTTATTATTGATATGAGTCATAGAGATTCTTTTGTATTGCCTTGTTTCCTGATAATAAAAACCTATCTTTTTTTTATTTATTATAAAATATTTGAAAACAAAAGGAAAAAAGATTAGATTGTTTGTAAAAAAAATTTCAGGAACATTTATATAAAATTAAAATGAAATCTCTCCCGGTGCTTCAGGATAATCATGTCCATATTCATCTTCATAATATACAAGTTGTGCGGGAAAATCTTGATTACGATGTTTTCTAGAAGTTTCACGTATAGATGGATGAAAAAAAGAATCATTAAGCATTTCTGCAGAAAGGGAATTTGTTCCAACTGTATGATGAGCTGAACGTGTATCTTGTACATGAATATAATCATCAGCATTATATGTTCGGTCAATATCTGTTGTCCAAGATTTTCGAGAGAATGGTGGTATAGTATTACTTGGACGTACAGCATCATTTGATAAAATTCTTGATTTTGGATTTCTCATTGCTAGATTAATTGCTGGTACAGACTTTTTTAGATTATCTTCATTACGTGATCGAAAATATGATATTATCATTTTTTCAATAGATTCTGAACGTTTCTTTGCTTCTACTTCTTCGGAACGACTATAATCAGTTAAACGAAGTAAACCTGTTTGATTATTCTTTTCAAGATCTTTCAATGGAGAAAATTGACAACGTTCAAGAATTGTCCTAAATAATCAAAATTTAAATTAACATTCAAAAGAAAAAGAACAAATATAATTAAGCATATTTAATTATACCATCGATCAAAATAACCTCGATCAACACGATTTCCATGCCAATAATGGCATATATTAACCGGAATATAACCAACGAAACTACCATTGCCAGCTATTTGAGCTATTCGTTGACCCCATACTTTAGCTAAAGTTTGATAATCTTCATCTATACCATCAGGTATAGTTTCTTCAATACGATTTATTAATGCATACGCAAAATGAATATCACCTGAACCAAGTATCGAAAAATCTAGAAGACCACCCATAGCATCAAAAGTAGTTCGACGCATTGCCCAAGCATAACCAGGATGAACAAAACATTCGGATGAACGACGTGGATCAATACGTTGTTCATGACGGATTGCATAAGCAAATGAATAATCTTGACGTAAAATTTGACTTTTACCTGATGGACCCAAAAAGGAACATAATTCGAAAAGTTGAACAATAGGATATTGTTGTAATTGATATATTGTTAAATGAGGCCAATCCAAACGCTAGAATAAAAAAGGAACAATTATAACGGGTGTCCCAGAAAGAATGGCCCTCCCAGTATTTTGAAGATTTCTCGTCTATTATCCATATGATTAAAGCCCTTTTTATTATCAAACGATAGCGCTTGAAATTCTCTACAAAACCATATAAGATTAGGCTCAAAGACAGTTTTAGATATATTTGGAAAAAGAAGAAAACTAAAGACATAGAAACAGCTGTAAAAAGTAAATAACGGGTGTTCCATAATAAATGGCCGCACTTTGCATTTCATATTTTGATCTCTAAATACGTTTTATTAAAAAAACAAAATATACCACTAGACGCATTGTGTAAAGCTCTACAATCTACAAACTAAAGTTTATTCTAATTATATACTTTTTGTTTTAAAAAAAAGGCAAAACTCTGTATGACCAATTTTCGTCATTGTGAAAAAGTCATTTTTTTTACACGAACGAGCATTTCTTTTTCTAATTTTATCTTTTCATCATCTAATGTGTTTTCTTAAAAAAAGCAAAATATACTACAAGATGCAGCGTGAAAAGCTCTATAGTTGACAAAGAGCAGTTTATTTAATTTCTGTAGTTTTTATGTTAAAAAAAAACTCCAAATTTTGTGCGATCGGTTTTCGCAACGGCTAACATCGGTCGCACAGAGTTTTGCTTTTTTTTTTGAAAACAAAAAGTATACAATTAAAATAAACTTTCGTTTAGATTGTAGAGCTTTTCACGCTGCATCTTGTAGTATATTTTGTTTTTTAATAAAACGTATTTAGAGATTAAAATATGAAATGCAAATTGCGGCTATTTCTTATGGATCACACATTTACTTTTTACAGCTGTTTGTATGTCTTTAGTTTTCGTCCCTTTTCAAATATATTTAAAACAGGTTTAGGCCTAGTCATATATGGGTTTTGTAGGGAATTTCAAGCACTATCTTTTGATAATAAAAGAGGCTTTAATTACACGGATAATAGACGAGAAATCTTCAAAATACTGGGAGGACCATTCTTTCTGGGACGCCCGTTATTTAAAAAAAAAACATCCACGAAATTATTCATTCTTGTTAAGTTTGTTGATTAGTTTATGTAAATTAGACTTTCTACAGTGAAATTTGATCAAGTTCATTTTCATAACAAATATTGTTTTTTTTCTCGTCTAAGTAGTAATACATATATTTGATAAAACATATTCTAGCATTGCAATGTAATATATCAATAAAAATAAATCACAGGCAGACCAAAAAAATTCAGCATCTTTGTATAACTAGATAAACTAACCTCGAATTCTATATCAGCATCAAGCCAAGCAATATATTCTACATATGAGGGTAAACATTTAGCTGCAATATTAATTAAATTTTCTTTTAACCAAAGAACTGATGGTGCTGAAATTTGTAAATGTCGCGGATCATTTGCTCGTGTAATTTCAAATTTTTGTTTTGGTAAACCCATTGATTCAGGTGATTCAAATATACATTCAACAGTAAGTAAAGTAACACCTGAGCGTGACATATGTTCATCAAATTTATGATATGATTCATAACGTGATTTATATTTAATTGGATTAAATAAAACAGTTACAACACCAAAATGATTTAAATCATATTTAGGCACACGTAATTGAAGCTTACGAGAAGACCCATATTTTTTCGATGTGTGTGAACCCATTTGATTCAAAATAGATGCTGGCGTGAATTGTTTGAAATTTCTTTTCGTTGTCACAATTCACATGCAGTTACTTACATATCACTGACGACAGAATGACACTTGAGTGATTTCAGCATACGCATGAAACAGAATGAAAGAAAGACACGAAAATCTGGATGCTTACCGTCTGCACAAATAAACCATGAATGTGCTTGTGGTTTTTTTCTTTTAGATGATTTTCGTTTGTCAACCCAAGAAAAAAAAAAAACGATTCATAAAAGACGATACAACTAGAACGACTTAATGGTCATGTTTATTGATCTTTAAGCCTTCAAATAAAAACGACAAGAGAAAAACGACGTAGAAGATGAAATACTATATTTATAAGTTGCGGTTCTTAACAACAAGGTTGTTCTCTTCTTTTTTTTCAAGTGGAACGATTTATATGTGAAAAAAAGCTTGTTCACTTGCATTCTTTCTCAACGAACTAATACAAAGGTACGATTAATCTTCTGAAAAAAAAAGAAAAAGAAAAAAAAACACCAACAAGTCACAAAAGAAAATCGAAAATTTACAGTTATACTACATCTGTCTAAGTATACTACTCGATATTGCTTTGCAGAAAGGAAAGAATAGTGTATCTGAAGTGTTTGAATAAGTCAAGCATCCTACATTGAGTAAATGGTTTTGAAAGCGAAATAAAGTATGAATACATGAAAACAATTTTTTTAACTCGATTTATTTATTACAGTTTTTAATGTGATTTTAATAGCATATAAGAAAAATTTTTTCTCTAAAAATGTTTTGTTTTTCTTCTTTTTGAATTGTTAAATAACTAATAATTTCGATGATAATCATGAGACTGTTTCTGGAAACAACTTGAATGAATAAATTAATTATGTGTTGTTAATATTAATGTTAATTTTATTAATTATTTTGATGGGCTATGTTTGTTTTTGAAATAATCAATTCATTTAAATTAAGCAATCCAGTTTTTCTTTTCTAATTATTTCGATACGATAAGTTTTTCACTTAATTTCCATTGTCTTTCGATATTGTTTATGCCAAGAGCATGTGCTCTTATGTCCAAATACTTTGGATCGGTATTTCATCCACGAGTAATTGCATAATCTTCAGAAATATTCACTATTAGTTCAAATGCCAGAGTGAGATACATACTCGTTGCAGCTTCGTCTTCCACATTTCTACAAAACTCGACTAGTGTGCTACTTTACTTGATCCTATCAAATATTTATAATTTTTTCATCGGTGTGTACTTTTTTTTACGTAATTAAGAAAACACCTCGGTACAACGTAAATCATCGAATTCTGTCTTTTTCATAGAGTTTATTCGGTTGTTTTACAAAAAAAGATTATTCGTTGATTTGCTTTGTGCATAGGCGAACTATTTGTGCTATCATTTTCCTCAGAATTGATATAATCAAAATTTGTTGTGTCAATTTTGTTTGCTATTGAATTAACGGTAATAACCTATGCATATTTACCTGATTTCAACTTAGACAAAAGTAGATTTACCAAGTGAAAATGGACAAAATGACTGAAGCATAATTATGATTCAAAAGTATCAACTGTTTTTGAATAAGAACATGCCATAATCACAGTATTACCTGTAATACAAACATAAAATCAAAAATTTTTTTTTTTATTGAATTTGTTTTTTTGTTATGCTGCTCGTATGTAAAAACATGTTTGAAAGATGTCGTTATCGAAATTTATTGGCAAAATTTCTTATTGATTCGAGATAAGTTAAATCTGTTTCCATAACTTTGATTTGTTGTTTCGTATTTTTTTTAATATTTTCGACAACTTGTACATCTTTTTGCGTATGTCGTGCCATTATGAATACATGAACATGAGTTTTAGCCGATTCTCATTGTGTTTCAATACCAAGACTTTTAATATGAAAATAAAATCATTCGATTGAAGAGGAATTCCTCTTGTTGAACTTACAAGACGTAACTCTAATTATCAACACTAATTTTCTATCCGGTTTTGCATTTAATCGTGTAACAACATTGAATACAGCTGAACTAGAACAAAATGTTGGTGCTATTGACAATATCGTGTGACGAGTAAAGCATTTTTCTTCACAGAACACGAAATTATTACGGTTAAGAAAATGCTCGACTTCAAATGAATTTTATTGTGCAACGAACACTATACATTGGCACATGTTGCAAGAGTCATATTGACATTATTGAAAATAAAAAAATATTATTATGAGACCAAAAAAGCTCTGATTATTTGCATATATAAAATAACATTTATCTATTCTTGTCGTTCGAATGACGTAACTACATGTCACGCTGACTTGGGCTATTTTTTTACTTACGGATTATTTTTCTTACATTCTGAATGACGATATTGAGAACAGTTTGTTTTGTGAGTTGATGGTATTTGCCTTTTAGGTGAATACTTTTTTGTATCGTGTTCTATTTCTTTTTTCTTGTATGCTGAACATATAAAATATCGTGCTGAAACAACAAAGAAAGAAGATTTTTTTTTTAAATTGAAACAAAGATTAACATTTGAAAGATAGATATATATTGATATTATCACTTATTTTTATGCAAGAATATAGGACGATTTTATTCTTTAGACCATACAGCAACAAAAGGATCAAAAGTTCAGTTGGTTCTTCGTCAACATTCTCAACTGAAATTGAATATCATATTGATAGAAGTTAATGAAATCTTTTCAAATGGTCTGATCTATGTATGCTGAGGCAAAGCAAGGAAAACGTTAGAAAATAGAGAAAACTAAAAATTTATGCAACCAAATTCGATAAGAAAAGACGTCGATTGAACTAAGATAAAATTTGCCACTGCCGTTGAAAATATTACCATTGAAGAACAAAAAGTACTGCTCACCTTCGAGTGATGAAAATGAACGAGTAAATGATGACAGTATGAAAGTCATCGAAAATAGGTCAGCTTAAGGCTTTGCACGATATGGTTGTTTGTACTTTTGCAACCCATGAATCATTTCATTCAAGTCATGACTTGCTCTACTTTATCGATGAAAGCAGATATGACAAACTTTTACATAGGTTATAGAAGAAAAATTCTGATGAATAATCACGCACTTTAATGATAAAAATATTCTATTTGTAAAGAAATATGACATTTTTTCCCCAGAGTCTTAACACGAACATTAACATTGTCAAATCTTTTTTTTTGAAACATCTACATCTTGAGAATAATACATACGATCGAATTGAAATTTTTATTGCGAGGAAATCAAGTGAACAACTATGCTTGGCAAAAAAAAGTTTGCCAATACAGCTGCAGCCGGTACTACAATGTAGAAATCATAGAAGAATTTGATACTAATTAAGAATACATAAGCGGGCTATGAAAGTTTGAACTTTTTTATTTTTATTTTCTATATTCGGAAAATAAAAAAAAAACAAGTAAAAAAATTAGCGTACAAGTCGAAATCTAATTGTTTTGTTGATGCTGACCACAACGATTACGAACATAGATGAAAGAAATCTAAACCATGAAAAAAATGGAACAATCAGTTTTTACACCAGATTATTTTTCAAGGAGCTATAACTGTAAGGGAAAGCATGAACAGAATCTTTTTGGATATTAATTTATAGGGACAATTTTATAGTCAATACTACTAAATCAGCTTAAACGAGTGGATCTCCAAAAACTAATAAACTGTATTGGATTAGGATGTGTTTTCTCATAGTCATAAAATGAATACAAAAAATAACGAAATATACTCACACTTGATTTAGTTTAATAGTCAGTCTAAATATTTTGATCGTTGATTTATTCCATTTATAATAAGCAACAAAAAGACAAATAGTTCATTGTTTTCTTTAAGTTTCATCGGCAATAACTAATAGGTTTTTTTTTGTTGCTGTGATCAATGATATAAAATTTGTTTAAATTAGCAATAAACTTTTTATCGTGTGCAATAATGATCAACAAAATTCAAAATGATATTGATCATTTTGGTGAAAAATCTTTGCCATATTAATTGATGTCATTGACAGATAAATAATAACTTTTGAAATCAATAGTAGAAACAAAAGAGTATAGAGAATAAAATATCGAATAATCAAACTATGATAATCGTGTCTTATAGATGAAACTGTATTTCAAGAGTTTTAAATATAAAGAATATTGCTGACAATAAATTTAATACTGAAAATAATTGGTGCAATTAAGGCAATCATATTGTTTTAGATAAGAATAAAAATAAAAGAAAACTTAGCATAACTAGAAGTTCCAAATTCGTCAACAATATACACGAAACGAAAAGTAATTGAACAGCCATAAACAATAATATGTTGCGAATACAAATGATATCAAAAAAACAACTAAATAGTAATGAACGATGAACAATTGAAAAGTAATACCAATTATTGAGTAATGGTAATACATATACTTGAATACATACTTCAAAAACATAAAATAATGCTTCAATTAAACATAGAAATTGACAAGCTATAAAAGAAACTTAAATAATAAACATCAAATGGATAATATATTCAACTATTTAGTATTCGACGCGAAAAAAAATAATCAATAACTAGTTATGTAGCTGTTTATTCAGATCACCAAATGATCAAAAATTGGAATTATTTCAAACAAAAGTCGAAAACTTTTGTCTGTTTTTAAGAAAAACTAGTTATCATTTACTACGTAGAGGATCCTATAGAAGATATTTTATGATTTGTAAATAGGCAAATGTATATAGAATTAGTATTGATATAATTAATATGATTATATAATAATTAAATTAAAATTTTCCATCGATTCAAGACACAATCGTGATCAACTTTGTCATCTGAAATCATCATTCTTTTTATTTTATCTTTCTCATTTGTTAGTGTCAGATGGGTCTACGAAACGTGCGCACTGCAAAATGCGCACGCACAACTTGCGCACGGATCATTTACGCACGAGATGAAAATTCATAGTAATTATTATTGATACTTCGAAAGACAGTGAGAGTACAAAGAGATAACAGAAGAAACAAAATTGCTGTATTCATTTCAAGATCATAAATACAACAATTAAGTATGTAAAAAAAGCAAGAAAAAAAATTAT